AAAAAAAAAAAAAAAAAAAAAATTAATGTGGAAAAGTGACACCAAAAAAAAAAAAAAAAGAAACGAAGCAGCAATATTCAAAAAATTAAAAGGAATCTAGAGTATTAAACCTGAAAAAGAAACCTCATCTTTATTCATTTGCTTAAAATGCTTAGGTTTCGTGTTTAAGGGTGAGTGACATTACGGACTTCTGAGTTCCTCTCTTTATTATTATTATTTTTTAAAGATTTTATTTGTTTATTGTTTCCCCCCAAAGCCCCACCAGATAGCTGTATGTCATAGCTGCACATCCCTCCAGCCGCCATATGTGGGACGCGGCCCCAGCATGGCCAGAGAAGCGGTGCGTCAGTGTGTGCCCGGGATCCGAACCTGGGCCGCCAGCGCGTCAACCGCTAAGCCACGGGGCCGGCCCTGAGTTCCTCTCTTTAAATCTCAGCTGACCTTCACCCAAATCTCATAAGCACGTGTGTCTGACGAGCAGCCAGTTTTGAGAACTCAATGAGACAGGCCAAGATTTAGAAATCTGAGATTTATTATGACTCTGCCTGGTCCCCCCTTCTACAGCGTGGCCACAAAGGATCCAGACCCTTTGCTGCCTAAAAGGAGCACACTGAAACTTAGGACTGCAAGACCCTACTATGTATCTAACCATGCAGGGTTCAAGTAACAGTGCAGACTAAGTCCCATTGAAATAAATGCAGTTGTGGGGAAATCATTGTGTTCGTTCATTGAAGATGTATTGGGAATCTACTCTCGACAAAGCCTGCACCAGGCAGTGAGGGGAGTGTGAGAGCTGGTCTGGGCTCTAAGGAAACTCACAATCGGTAGGGGAGGTAAAACACACATGCCTATAACCACAATGCAAGGGAATATGACCATTTCCACAAAGCAGCACAAAAAAAGCTGAGAGTTTTGAAAGGAAAACTAATTGATGACAGGCTATAGGGATTAGGGAAGGCTCCATGGAGGTGCTTTGTAGAATTTGTTTATAAAGTTTTCCATGCTCAAATTGGTATGTTTCCAACAGTATTTTATATCATAACATTTCAGTAAATAAAAATAATGTAGTCCGTTTGGAGTTTATTGGATTCAGATTATATGTTCACCTACAGACACTTGCAAACACATATACTCACACATACTCTTACACATGTGAGCTCCCCAGGAGAATGATCAAGGAAGTCCATGAGTCTATGATCAAACATTTTCCATTTTATCCTCATGGGCAGCTCATCCGAAAGGTAACTGGAACAAAGGGTTTAATATGGACATTAGGGGACTAAGAAAAAGTACAATGGCCTGAGTCATCAGGAAGCAAATCTTTTTGGATTATCGTTATCTTTTCTGACTGAAGAGATATGGCAGAGAGGTTTATTGTTTTAGTTTGTAGATATGTATCTGATGGAATTATTAAATGAGGCAGATAAAGAGTGCACAACAGAGTGTATAAATACCTCAGTGGGAAAATGGGCAAAGACCTCAGCAGGAAAATTCCAAGAGAAGAAATATAAATGCCCAATAAATACGAAGAAAACTTCAACTTCAAAGTAACAGAAAGTAATTCAAATATTTAAAAAAAAACCCAACTTTTCACTATCAGCACCAGCTTTAAAAATAATCGCAGTCATAATTGCCAAAGTTCCATTGCAAGAAACATCTCTGTAAACTGCTGGCAGTAGGATAAATTGCTATAAACTTTCTGGTAAGAAATTTAATAATATATATCAAGAACCATAAAAGATTATACTCTTTGGTTTGTTCCTCATAGAAATCTTCCCTGAGGGAAATTTACAATATCAAACAAATATTTATATTGGCAAGAAAGTTGGACATATCCTAAAGGAACAACAACAGAATTGTAAGGTCAATGTTAGTAGCATTTTATGCCACCATTAAAAATGTTTACATAAACTGTTTAGTGACATGCTTAGTGAAAAACAAGGAACACAATTAAATGTGTAGCCCAAATTTATACACACACATATACACCTGCACACACATATATATATGTACATATATAAATAAATGAAGAAAATGTTGGCAAGAGAAACTTCTGGTATTCACAAAATATTATTAGTAGTTATCTTCAGTGGGTTTAATTTTTGTATTTTCCTTCTTCATAGCTTTCTAAAATATCTAATTTTTTATAGTTGGTATTTATTTAAAATTTCTATCTTGCAATTATAATGCTGCTATTCATCAAGCATCTCTTATGTTAATATGTGAACGTATCTCATTCTCCCACCATTTCCTTATTCTGTGCCTGGATTATACTTTGGAGGGGACTTGCTAGGCTGACATAAAACCTAACAATTAATATTTGGATTTCCAAACTTATTGGGCTTAGAATCATCCCTAAAACTCTCTATATAATTATCTATTTTTAATTCGTATGTTAAGCCTCTTGTCCTCAACCCACCTCAGCCGATTTACTCTTAACTTTGGAACCAAGGAACAGCTGTCGCTAAGTGAGCAGACTTGGCCTTTTCCATCTGACAAGCGATGTGAGGTTTTTTTACACTGGGAAGTTTCTCTTTGATTTCAGCTCTATGATGGCACACAGCGGATAGGGCGCTACTGTGGAGCAGATATTCCGCCTCCGGGGAGCACCACAGGCTCCAAGCTCCAAGTGCTGTTCCATACTGATGGGGTTGGCCACCACGAGAAAGGATTTCAGATGCAGTGGTTCGTTCACGGTAAGCCCTGCGCCCATCTCAGTCGTTTTTGGTAGCTGCTATTTGACCAAGAATGGTTCCCTTTCCAATTCTATACTGGAAACAATACCATCAACAAATAATGGAACCTGGGTAGTAATCTGGTGCTAGGCCTTAGAAAGTTTGCTCAGACCTGGTGGCTCTTGGAGAGTTAAATCATCCTGTTAGGGTTAAGAGAGGAAGTGAAGTCAAAGTGGACAGGCTTTGGATAACTGCTTAAGAAGGTGCAGCAAGAGGCCGGCTGGTGGCGCAGGCGGTTAAGTGCACAGGGCTGATCTTCCTTACAAAAAAAAAAAAAAAGAAGAAGAAGAAGAAGAAAGTGCAGAGATAAATTGCCTCAGAGATAAAAAGGAGGGAGCAGAATGAAGTTTCTAGGGGTGAAGACCTGTACTCGGGTGTGGCAGGCAAATTGCAAGGTGTGGGGGGAAGTCTCTCAGAAGGAGTGGAATAGAATGAGATTTAAGGCTCACCTGACATTAAGCAGAGGAAGAGTGACAGGGATAGAAGGGAAAGAATGAGAGTCAGTCAGAGTGAGAAGGGGAAGGGCGAGGATTGGGCTGAGAGGGGAGCGGGAGCAGAGAACTTAAGCTAACGATGCCCTAAGCTGGGGGCATGCATGTGTTGTACTTGCCAAAGAGGGTAGGGGCACGTCAGAACCCACCTACTGATCAGTGGTTGAGGAAGCAAGTAGGGATAATCATTCCTCTGGAGATGAGAATTCATTTCTAACAAGAATTCTAAGACATCTAGACTGACCTCATGAGGGCAAGACTAAAGGGAGAGGGCCACACAGCAGTGGTTCTCAAAAAAGCAACATCAGCATCACCAGGAACTTGCTAGACATGCAAATTCTCGGGCCCCATCCAAGACCTACAGAATCACAAACTCTGTGAAGAGGCCCAATAATCCATGCCTTAGCTAGCCTCCCTGCTGAGTAAAGTTTGAGAACCACTCTCCTAGAGTGATCCAGACCTGAAAAAAATAATCGTTGTGAGTATTTTAGTAGCCGTTCTCAACCAAGGTCTTAGGGCTCACTGGTATGTTTCAATCAATTTGAAAGAGAAGCCAAGTTGCAATATTATAGCAGGCATCACACACAGACATCTAAGCTGTGCCCCTACTGTCAAAATCAGGGGTGAGCCCAAGGCGAGTGCACATGGATGTGTGTTGTGGTTGGCTCTTGAGGGTTAACGTCATAGTGCATTTATTGTATGAATCTCAGCATGATACATAACTGAACAGCCCTATTATATACTGAAGAGTGTTAGATGTTCTGTTATTATGAACTGGATACTGAGTGTACTTCTGTTAAAATATAAGTACAGGGTTTCCAGTATTTAAAAATATTTGGTGGGGCCGGCCCCGTGGCTTAGCGGTTGAGTGCGCGTGCTCTGCTGCTGGCGGCCTGGGGTTCGGATCCTGGGCGCGCACCGACGCACTGCTTCTCCGGCCATGCTGACGCCGTGTCCCACATACAGCAACTAGAAGGATGTGCAACTGTGACATACAACTATCTACTGGGGGGCTTTGGGGAAAAAAAAGGAGGTGGATTGGCAATGGATGTTAGCTCAGAGCCGGTCTTCCTCAGCAAAAAGAGGAGGATTAGCATGGATGTTAGCTCAAGGCTGATCTTCCTCACAAAAAAAAAAAATATATTTGGTGGTAATCCACAGAGCTACTTATAGCTTGAAATACAGATTATGAATTCCCAAAGTAAATAAGTTGTAATAATTGAGCATGTGGAGGTCCTGGACTGTCCTTTTCATCAAGTAGGGAGATTTAATCTTGGAATGTCCATTTGTTGATCTGTTAAATGAAGGGACTGCACTGATTCATCTCTGTAACACAATCCTTCTTTAGCATTCTGTGATTCAGAAATGGCATGATTCTAAGGAAGCTAGAGACGATGTGAAGAGACCTAGAAGAAACAGGAACATCTTGGGAAATGACCCAGATTTTCAAGGGCCAGGATTATTCTTCAGAGCATGTGTCTCAGACTTTCATGTGCATACGAATCACTAGAGATCTTGTTACAAATGCAGATTCTGATGCGGGGGGCTGAGTTAAGGCCTATGAATCTGCATTTATAAAAGCTCCCAGGTGATGACCATGATGCGACTCTTTAGACCACACTTAGGAGCAAGACGACAGCAGATGTTAAGGCGGGAGTAATAAAATGGTGGAAAGAGAGTATCCCTAGAGACTAGAGAAAGCTTCTGCAGTGCTTCAAGAACTCATTGTACTAAGGGCAGAATAATATCTTGAATCTTTCAATGTCAGTAGGTTAAGAGCTGAGGCCCCTGTAAAAGAGAACCTTACTGCTTCAGAGATCCAAAGGGGAGAAAGCTCTCACGTGACACAGAGGGTAGAAAGTAAGAAATGCTAACCAGGAGACCGAGGCTTAAGGCCTAGGGGAGTGGTCCTTAGCCCTAGATACACATTGGAATTGCCTGGGAGTTTTAAAGAGGACCCGTGCCTGGGTTCCAGCCTCCAGGGATAGGATTCAATTGGTCTGCAGTGGGACCTCGACTACTGATAATTTTAAAAAGCTCTCTGAGTAATTCTGCCATGCAGCTAGGATGGAGGGTTTTAAGAGCAGTGATTTTGCTAGTTTTATCTTTCTCCTCAGTGGGCTGCTTCCTCCCCGTTCCAGGCTGTTCTAGCCATACTAGCCCAAGGACACACTAAAGAATATGATTTAATGGTCTTTATTGGCTACACTGGATTACTGTATCATTGGGTTTTTCCAGCCAGTACGCTAGACACGGCTGAATCCTCTGCTGAAAGCAGAGTTTTGGTTGGGAAAATTTTTTTTCTACTAGTTCTATTTGGAATCCGTCTTCATTTGGGAGAGTCAAAGACACTCTCTGTCTATTCTTTTTTTCCTGTTTACTATTTCAAAACTTTCTCCCAGTTGCTGAAAACTTGCTAAGCTTGGAACCAGAGTTGTACAAAATTTTGCCAGCTGGGACCAGAATTGAACAATTTTTTTAAAACCCTGTGTTACCCACAATATATAAATTACACTTGGGAAGAGCCTTCTGGAAGGGGATTGTTAATAGTCTAGATCTGTGCAAAATTAACTGTCATATACTATAGTTATGCAATGCCTCAAGTATGCAGAGTTTATACTCTGCATCTTAACTAGGTCTTTAACTTGAGATAGCCTGAGAAGATGGGCCAACAGAAAAGACGAGGGTCAGGGAAGATGTCCCTCTGCTTCTCACCCAGTGGAGCTAAACTGAAGGCATAAATCTGGTTTCTCAGTCATCTATGTGTTCATTTCACGGATATTAAGGAACTGTTTGGGGCCAAGTACTGTGCTAGGGCTAGAGACAGGGTGTTACTCCTTACAGGCCTAGTTCCCAGTCTTATAAAGCTTATAGTCGATTGGGAGAAGTAGCCATCAAGTAAATAAGCCACAAATGAATAGAAAATCATAAGTGCAATAAGCACCAGTGAGCGCGCAAAAGGGGATGTGACCTAGACAGGAGATCAGAGAGGTCCTGTATGAGGATGGGACTTTTGGACTAAAACCTAAAAACAAGGAGTGAAGTAGACGAATAGGAGAAGGAAAAGGATTCCCAATAGAAGAAAGACTTTGTGGTGGGAGGGAGTAGGGTGAGGATGAGGGACCCAAATTCCAGGGTGGCTGGAGTCCAGAGCCAAAGGGAGCAGAGCTGGAGGAGCTGAGAGCTGAGCAGTGGCCAGAGCGTTAGAGTCACTCACGGCGAGGGGCTTGGGCAGGGATAGCGGAAAAGAGGGGACACACCCTTTCTTGCATGTAATTTTTCAGAGAAATGAGTTTTGAGTGGGATCTGGAAGCACTGAAGCAACCTGCTGTGTTGTGGGTTCAAAACACGAAATAAAATCCCAAATACAAACAAATATGAAACAAACAAACACAAAATCCAAAATACATTTAAAAATTAGTCACAATTTTAAAGTGTGATGAAATGTTCTTGAATGTGTCTTTGTGTGTGCTCATGCACGTGTGTATGTATTCATTCAAAAAGATCGTCTCTCCACAGCCTCCTTAGATCTCCATCTCAGAGTCGGGATCAAGTGCCAGGGCCCGGGACCCCCAGCCTGACACGGGCCCTCAAGCTGCCCTTCCTTACCTGGAAAAGGAAGCGCCCTTAAACTCCTAGCCTCTTTTTATTAGAATCAAAACTCATTTCAAGCCCTCTTTCCGAACCTTCCCACTCTTTTCCAAACTATGCAATAAGAACTCCAAAAAACTCTTCACTGAGAGTTCAGAATCTACAGTGGCATCATTTCCGGAGCATTGCTGCTGAGGAAGAATCCCCACACGCTTTATTCATTTTGCCAGTTAATAAATAAACCCATTTACAAAATGTGCTTCTTTGTCAACCGCACAATCTTCTATTTGCCTTGAGAAAATGGATCTACAATCGGGCTTTCTTTACAGGCCCATTTTTTGTAGATGTGAGATGAAACCACACTGCCTTGCCTTTATGCAAACCATCAAAGAGAATCCCACTCTGGAAAGAAAGAAACGGCCACAGTTACCCTGCCTGGCTAAACGGTTCACGGTATCCAGCATTGACTGCATTGTCCAGGGGCTGAATTCTGCCTCGGGGCCCTCCGTCTGCGTTGCTGAAGGGAATATGGAACTTTCCGCAAGCTGTGTGAGTGGGGGCCTCCCGGCCAGCTGTGCACACCGCCCGCCTCTTGTGGTCGGCCCTCCCAGAGGCCCTCTTTCACTAGGCAATGGAATCCAGCACACAAACGAGGTCAAGGAGCTTTGTGAGTAAAAGAGTGACATTTGCAAAGGGAGAGAACCGTCAGCTGGGAACAGCAGGGGAGGGGGCGAAGGGACATGTGATCAGGAGGTGATGTCACTCTGGATTTTCACAAAGGAAAGTGTGGCCTTTTCTTTGGGGAGATAGATGACATCAGCCTCTTGAATGGGGGCTGGTTCCATTTTATCTCTTTTTAGCTATTAACGAGATTTCTCA